AAAAATTAGCCAGGCGTGGTAGCGCGTGCCTGTAGTTCCAGCTACTTAGAAGGCTGAGGCAGAAGGATCGCCAGAGCCCAGTAGGTCGATGCTGGGATGACCATGAGTGTGCCACTGCACTCCAGCCTGGGCAACGGAGTGAGACTCCAACTCAAAAAATAAAAAAGGGAGGGTGAGGGAGTAGGCCTCAAGGATATGCAAGGAAAGCAGACAGAGCCAAAGTACCTTCTGCCCCTTTTCTTTCTTTGTTTTTTTTTTTGAGTCGGAGTCTCACTCTGTCACCCAGACTGGAGTGACAGCCTCCACCTGCTGGGCTACGGCAATCCTTCAGCCTCAGCCTTCCAAGTAGCTGGAACTACAGGCGCACGCTACCACGCCCAGCTAATTTTTTATTTTATTGTAGAGATGAGGTCTCACCAAGTTGCCCAGGCGGGTCTCGAACCCGCGGACTCAGGCAATCCACTCACCTAAGCCTCCCAAAGTGCTGGGATTACAGGCTGAGCCACCAAACCTGGCTTCTGCCCCTTTTCTTGAAGCTACCCTGTTTCCTAGCTCCCCTAGAGTTTTGCTGGGATGGATATGTTAAGTTGGCCTTACATGGAGAGGAGGAGGTGATCTAATTTGAGGAATAAGAGGGCTGATCCATTCCTTAAAAATGTCTTCTTCACTAGCTGACCAGATACCTGAACTGATCTCATAAACCTTGATTTCTTTGAGTCTGGAAGGCTGAACATACCCTCCGGGGCTCAGGGTGCTGTAAGCCTTTACCTGCTATCCTCTCATGGGACCTTAGTGACACGAAAAAGACTATTGGGGTGGGCAGAAAGCAGGGGAGAAAGACAAGATGGTGGATGTGGGGATGTGGGAGAAGGGGAGATGTCCTGAGGACCCCCCACTTGTTCCTCAATCCCTCTCCCCAGGCCCTGCTCAGCCACCGGCCCCGAGAGGTCAGCCTTTCCCTGCGGGCCACCGGGCTGGTCCTAAAGGCCATTCCAGCCAGTGACACGGAAGGTGAGGAGCTGGGAATGCAGAGCAAAGAAAGACAGAAGGGACTAGAAGGGAGACATTGAGGAGACAGGAGGAGAGAGGGTCGAGTGATGGGACATGGAGGTGCAGTCCTACATCTCCTCTAGGGTCCCAGAACTGGAACCAGACCCAAGGCTGGGTACTGGTGCTGCCCTGGGGGAAGCATGATCTCTGCCCTCAAGTTGCTGACCCTCAAGTCACCCATACACTAGCACTGACCTCTGCAGTCTGATGAGACATAGCTGGAGGGTGGAGGCCCTCAGGAAGGTGTTGCAGTTGGCCTCTTGCCTCTGACTTGGGCCTACAGGCCTAGTTGCATTCTGTTTGGAAATTTTGAATGTTGAATGTCATTCCAAAATAATAATAATAATAAAAGATGCCTTTTTATGTGCATATAGTAAATTTAAAATACTAGCTCCTATTGTGAGACCCCTGGTCTGCTGGAATAATGCAAAAGATGACAACATGCGTTTCTAACTATTGCATACGCTTACCAGAGGCCAGGCAGTGTTCCGTGTTAAACATTTGAACTCTCTTAAGCATGTTAACCCTAAGAGATAGGTATTGTTAGCATTAGCAACTTTCCATTGGAGAGGAAACCAAAGCAAAGAGAGTAACTTACCCAAGGTCACTTCTGTGAGGCAGAGTTGGAACTGGAATTTAAGCCCAGGCATTCTCTCATGGGCGTGAAAGTCCACGTTCCTGACCACTGCCCTGCATCACCTTCCCCAGACCTACCAAATCTTGAGACTAGACTGAAGGGATGTTACCCATAGATGCTTGCAGAAGATCATTTCAGCACCAACAAGAATGTTTCCTCTGGAAGAATTCTATCTCATTCACTCTATCCCCCGTGTCCTACACATGTCCTGGTACTTAGTAGATACTCAATTATTTTCTGAGTAACTGAAGTGCTACTTTACCCCAAAAATCTGTTTTAAAAATGAATAAATTTGGGCTGGGCTCAGTGGCTCAGCCTGTAATCCCAGCACTTTGGGAGGCCAAGGAGAGTAGATTGCCTGAGCCTGCGGGTTCAAGATCCACCTGGCTACCTTGGCGAGACCTCATCTCTACAAAAAATCAAAAGTTAGCCAGGTGTGGTAGCGCACACCTGTAGTTCCGGCTACTTGGAAGGCTGAGGCAGACGGATCACCAGAGTCCAGCAGATCGAGGCTGCGCAGGCCAGTAGCATGCCACTGCACTCCAGTGTGGGCGACAGAGTGAGACTCCAACTCAAAAAAAAAAAAGAAAGAATAAATTTGGAAAATTCCAGAAGAAACACAGAATGAAAGACACATTAGCCAGGCTGGAATGCTTATGAGGAAGCCAACTCTGATCCCACCTCTCTTATCCAACTACAGAGTAATTACTCTGTCTCTAAAATCCTCTGTAGCTTTGCTGGCATTCTGAGGATGACACTTCTCTATCTGTAATGCAGTTTTGCTCTTATATGGGCATCACAGCTCCTCAATTTTCTTGACATCTGGCACAAAGAAGGCACTTGAGAAATAATATCACTTCCTGATAAAATTGCTTCCAGGCGAGTTGACTTTATGGCCAACATATGAAATTCTATCCCAGCAAGACAATCCTTACCTGTAGACTTAACACCATGAAGGAGACATGTGACACGTAATTGTGGCAGTAGCTCATAACCCAGAGGTGGTTCAAGAGTGGAGATCAAGAGCGTGGGGCCTAGAGTCAGATGGGCAGGGCTCAAACTCCAGCTTTGCCATCTGTGTGATCTTGGGCAAGTTACTTGTGACCCCTCCTTGTTTCTTTTTTCATTTCTAAAATGGAGATAATCCATAGATACTAATTTGTGTACATACAGTAAATGATAAATGTTAGCTCTTGTTGTTAAAATTATATTCTTCCCATTTCTTTCACAAGACTCTTGTCCTTCCTACTCTAGACCCTATAGGACTGGTCTGGTGGGTGCCAGACCCTCCTTTGAGGCACAGACATCTATAAACCTTCTTTAGGTGGCAGGAAGAGATTAAGCCTGGCAGCAGTCATGCAATAATGATTTTCAACACATAATACACTATTAAGAAAATCAAAGAAACCCTCAAACTATTGAGATTAATGCCCCCTCTCGTTCCCTTGGTGCCTTTGTTCTATATAACATCCTGGGCTAGGCTCTCCTTATGTTTTCGCATGCCCAAGAGCTGCAGGGAAGTTCAACAGAACTATCTCCCTTTGAAAAGGAATGCAGGAGGAGATGAAGAAAGGGTGGTGAGGGGGGATTTGGGTTGGAGATGTCTGCTGGTCCTGAGGATACAGAAACTTAGTGGATTCACCAGGGAAGAAAGGTGGATGATTAGGGAGGGCCCAAAACTTCACAAGGTCCAAAGTGGAATTAGGAAGTGGGGCTGAGCAGGGTGCTCAAGAGGGTTAAATTGGGTGTGGGGGTGTCGAGATGGGTCCATCGAGGTCTTCTTAAGACCTGGAATCTCAAACTCCCCTATTCCCCTGGATGCCCATTCATAGCCTTCCAATCTCATTCAGTTTCAGGGTCCTCCTACTGTCCCCCATCTGCTGCTCCTGTTACAGACCACATGTGTCTGAATGTTAGTGTGACAGAGGTTGTCAAGTCCTCCAACTTGGCAGGAAGATCCTTCTCTGTAAGTACCAAGTAGACTGGGAAAGGGAGACAGTCAGATGGGAACAGAGTAGGTAGCTGGAAGCCCAGAGGGGAGGGATTCAGAAAAGGGAACTGACTTCTGAGCCTTCTGAGCCCTTGCTGTCAAAGTGGGTCTTCTTGTTGGAGAGAATCTGCTTTCATCAGTCTCTGAAATATTGAGCACCAACTGATATAAATAAAGCACTTTAAGTGTCAAGGCCTTCTCCTCCATCTGTTGACCGTTTGAGGACCCCAGACATACCCAGATAACTGCAAAATGCACCCTGTTCTGTCATCCCTAAAAACCACAGCACAGCCAGACTCCCAAACAATAGCCCAACTCTTGACCAAATCAAACCACTCTTTCAACCCCATTGTCCCTTTGTCCTTTTGTTTTTGCCCTTCTTGATACCTATTGATACAGACATAGGCCTGTCCATTTTCTCCCTACCTGATGACCTTCCTGGACTTCAATTGCCTACTCAGCTTGGCCTTGGAGGCCCATTTTTTCCTGAACCGTGTTCTCCCTGCATCCTCACCTCTCCTGTACCACCCACATGGCTGACACTCCACTTAGACCAAGCCACCCAAATGGCTCAATCTTCATGCCCAGACAGGTGACTGACTGCTCCTGGAATAAACCCTGCATCCACACTGGTCAGGGCCACAGTAAACTCACTATCTCCCTCTCCCCCACCCCCCAGGTCCCTCAGCCTTTTTCTTGTCCGCCCCCTCTGGGCTCTTCTCCATCTGTTTGGAGTTCTCATCTCTCTAGCACTGACCTCTTCCTCTCTACCACTCCTTCCTCTTAGTCTATACACATGCTCAGTCTTTTCCATTTTAGAAAGAAAAAAAAAAAACAACTCAGACATGACCCCAACTCAGACATGACCCAACTACCTCTCTAGCTACCTGCTGTATCTCCTTCTTTCCCTTCCCAGTCAAGATCCTTGAAATAAACCTCTAGAAGAGTTTCCATTCCCTTGTAAATAATTATTTTATCCACAACCATCTGCTTAGACACATCCCACTGTGGCAAAGTTACCTTCAGGCCTGGCACAGTGGCTCAAGCCTGTAATCCCAGCACCTTGGAAGGCCAAGGCAAGAGAATTACCTGAGCCCATGGATTCGAGACCAGCCTGGGCAACATGGTGAGACCTCATCTCTACAATAAAAATTTTTTTTAAAAATTAGCCTGGCATGGTAGCGCGCGCCTGTAGTTCCGGCTACTTGGAAGGCTGAGGAGGAAGGATCTCTGGAGCCCAGCAGGTCAACACTGGGGTGTCCGTGAGCATACCACTGCACTCCAGCCTGGGTAACAGAGTGAATCTCCAACTCAAAAAAAAAAAAAAAAAATTACCTCCATGTTGCCAAGACCAATGGTCACTTTTTAGTCTTTATATTTCTCTCTGTTTTTAAACAGGTAACATTTTAACCCATAAACAAAAGTTTTAATATTTATTTGGGGAATACAAAAAGCATAAAGAAGTAAATTCACTAGTAGTCCTAATACCTGGAGAGGATGACTATTAACATTTTCAGGTGTAAACACTCAGCCTTTTTGTCTATGTATTTTGGCATAATTGATAGGTACAGTACATAGCCTTGTGAATATGCAATGGTGAGACCTTGTTTATAACATTAAATATGTTTTGTGTCATTATGTATATTTCATTAGATATTATGTATGGTTGTTTAATACCTGTATAATTATTTAAATGAATTCTAATAACACATTTCTCATTTTTCACTCTTACAAGCAAACTGTGAGGAACATTTTAGGGATAAATATGTACTAACAAATCATTGTTATACTTTTTTAAAAAAATGCCTAGAGGCTCAGCCTGTAATCCCAGCACTTTGGGAGACCGAGGCAAGTGGATTGCCTGAGCCCGTGGGTTCAAGACTAGCCCAGGCAACTTGGCAAGACGTCGTCTCTACAATAAATAAAAAATCAACCAGGCATGGTAGCATGCGCCTATAGTTCTTGGAAGACTGAGGTGGAAGGATCACCAGAGCCCAGAAGGTTGACGCTAGGGTGTCCGTGCGTGTACCACTTCACTCCAGCCTGGGCGACAGAGTGAGACTCCAACTCAAAAAAATTTTTTAAAAATGCCTAGAAGTGAAATCACTGAGTCAGATGGTATCCTTTTTAAATATTTTGCCAAATTTTCCTCCAGAAAGTCTAAACCAAGTTCTGCCCTCACTGCTGTGTTTGAGTGCCAATTTTGCAACACAATTAACATACTGATTGATTTTTTTTATCTTTGCAAATTTGATTTTCAAACTTTTCATTTTTTGTTTCTTTATTACTAATTAATAAAGTTGAACAATTCTTGTATTTATTGATAATTTCTATTTATTTCATTCATGTATTTCCTATTTGTATTCTCACCCCATATTAACATATTTTATGAGGACATTAGCCCCTTGTCATATATTTTGGAAATACTTTTCCCAGTTTGACTTTTAATGCTTTTGAAATTTACCTAACATTTTATATTGTGATGTAACAAAATCTACCAGTCATTTCCTTTAATTATTTTTTATTCTTATATGATTATATATTACATCTCTAAATACTATGTCTTATAAATTTAAGATGTATTGTAATTTTACATATTACTAAGGAAGTAACAGTGCCTCCTATACTTTGAACAATGCTTTCTTATCACATTGGTTGCAAAATATTTTATAATTTCACCAACATTAAAATATGGGGGAAAATGTGTTTTAGAATTAATGAAAATGGCATGCCTGTTTAATAGTGGTATGTTGCTCCTTTGTCATGGTTTTATTTCTTCTTTTATTTACTCATCTTAAACATCTTTGTTTTATAATCTGATTTATGAATTAACAGTATCTATAATATCAGGAATCTAGTCCTTCTGTTTATTGGGTTCACTGACCCCCATGGTAGCTAATTCTTATGTTTCCTCAGTTATGAGCTCATATTTCTTGGGGCTTAATCTGTGGGAAACCTGGGTAGAAAAATTGTCCTTCTAGAGAAATTCTGTATTTGCTCTTGCCAAGTGTCCCAGAGGTGTTATCAGTCCAGGACCATATTTTGAGGTCATTTCTGGTTCAGAAATTTCCAGATCATGAAGATAATATAAATGTGTACTCTAAATCCACAGGACAGGCTTGTGGCTAAGAATCTCCAGGAAAGACTTTTCTTTCTCACTCACAGCACAGGCTAAAGCAGACAGGCTTCCCTGTGATCTCCTATTTCTGCTGGGGTTATTTGTTTGTTTTGTTTTTCTAATCTAGTCTTTCACTGAGAGTGTAGCCTTCGAGGATTCTTGAGAGGAATCTCAGTTTCAAATCCCTGCTTCATGTGGACCCAAGCCCTTGTCTCCTGTCTCCAGTCCTCCATGGCTGTTGAAACCTAAGTCCTCTTGATTCCTGAGATTAGCCAATGTCCCTGGGTCAGCCAAAGCACCTGATTTACATGATCTCAACTTCTTTAGAATTTATTATTTTCTTCATTACCTGGTACATGATCAATTTTTAAATATCCTGTGGCAACTAAAAAATACGCATGTGTTTTCTGTCTATAGAATATATAAAATTAGATGCTTAATTATTAAGTGAAACACATAATATTACTGTAATCTACAAATTAAAAAGGATTTTTTTTGTCCACTATATACATCTAAAACTGAGAGAAGTTTGTTGACATTCTCACTACAATTTTGATTTTGGCAATTCTATCTCACTTTCTCTGAACCTGAATTTTCTTTTAGCTTTTGATGATGTGATGCCTACTTATGCCCAGTCTGTATATGAAGACTGGTTTTGTTTTGTTTTGTTTTGTTTTTTCCTCATTGGAAATTTTAGATACTGAATTTCATAGAGGGTTCTGCATGTCACAGAATATACCTTGGTAGAATTTTTTTTCATTCATTATTTTGAACCTTTGATGGACATTGTCAATCTGGAGACTTGCATCTTTTGGTTCTGAGGTCTTTCCTAATATAATCTTTAAAATAATTTTCTTCCTTTTATTCTTTGCTGTTTATTTCTGGAACTATGAATAGCCAGGTGTTCAACCTCCTAGACTGATGCTCTAATTTTCTCATCTTTTCTCTCTCATTGTCCTTCTCTTTGTTATTTCTTCAACTTTGGAAGAGTTTTGACTGTCTAAATTTCAAGAACTTTTTCTTGCTTTCTGTTTATTCATTTTTAATAACATTATAGCTTCATAGATATGGTATCTTCTCTTCTCTCTCTAAAGATATGAATTATGATTGAATTGAAATTTTCTTCTGCACCCTGATTCATGCCTAATTCCTCTGAATTATTGTTTTGTGTTTGCTTGTTGTGATCCCTCTATCTCTTCCTCTCCTTTTCTCTATTTTTAATGTTCTAATTCAAGAGTGGGGCACTGAGTCAATGGTGGGCTTCTCAGTGGGCAGTTAGAGGCTATGGTCCTAACCCAAATGTCAGTATCTGCAAATTTCCTTGCTAGGACGGTTTTATTTTTCCAGAAATGAGTCCTTTGGGCCCCTACCTTGGGGCATGGAGGGGCCTGGAGTGGGGGATAAATAGGCCTCCTGGTGTCTGTCATCTGAAGCTGGATTGGACTAGGGGACTGGGGGGGTCTCACCATTCAGTGAGCAAACGTTCATGTCATCCATCTATTTGGAATACAGCACCTCACTCTTCCATTTGTGTTGTTCCCAAGTCCCAGACTCTCTGGTTCTGTTTCTCTGGTTTCTGTGGCAGGGGAAGGGTTCACTGATTGCTTCGCTGAGTGGGAGATTAGCAATCTAACTGCTGCTCATGCTGGCTTTCAATAGATTTCCCTTTATCAGTCTCCCTCTCATCCATCTGTGGAGCCAGGTACCTGCAGCTCTTAAGCCTTTCCAGAGTTTTGAAACTTTTCCAAAGTGTCCTTATGTTTGACCTTCCTCTTCTATGATGAGTTATTCACTGCCATTTATCTGTCCTTTCTCTGTACTACAATATTGTGGTCTAGGACTTTAGGTATCTTCTAGA